GGGAAGAAGAACAAACTGGGGAGGAGGGTGGAGAGAATGGTGTGGCAATGAAGGAGTGAAAGCCCAGAATCCCTGTGAATGTTCATTGAAACTATTAAAATTTAATAATAATAAAAAAAAAAAAAGGAAGGCTAAAAAAAAAGAAAAAGAAGTACGGAGTGTGTGACTTCACTTATCAGGAGGAACAAGCACATCATGATTATGATTAGGATTCATTACACAGTGGCTAAAAATCAGGTTCAAATGTGAAACAACAGTTGGGCTAACAACGGCTTGCCTTCTTCTGTTGTGCACACCAGGGTCTGACTTGGACCTGCATTGAAGGCACATCACAGTAACATTAAAATGCCAAAACAAACCTGGAACTAATACAGGATCACATCAGGTTTTTTTCCTCCAAAAAAATTTATTTATAAAAATCACAACAAAGGTTATTTAAACCTTCAGTAAAAAGGTAAATGGACATTTCTTTCCTAAACAATAAGCCAAATATTTATGTCATATCACACTCTTTTGTTCTTTCCTTCTCATTATTTTTACTATATTTCTACTAAAAATATACAGAAAATTATGAAGATTTGAATATATTTTGCTTTAATCAACAGTTACATATCAATTATGTATCAGGAAGCTAGAGGAACGGAAGAGAACATAACAAACTAGAAATAATGAGAATATTGATGTGATAGAAATGTAACAAATGGCAGTGAATAATCTTTATCAAAATTGTTGCACCAGAAGCTAAAGTGTGAGGTAAATTTACCCTTAAACATAATAAAAAACTATTTTTCAAAAGATAATCAACTAGTGCCTATCAAAAAATCCCTGTACACCATTCTTCATTTCCCACAGTAAAATGAGGATTTCAGCCCATTGTATGTTTGATACTCTCCTACTTTGGTGGACAGCACAGGAGAGGAAGTATGAGGTGGATTGATTCAGTGACTGGGGTACTCAGGATGGGTGTGTCAGAGGCAGTGCGATTGGCACAGGATAGAGCAGGGTTGTACATAGGGTCGCTATGAGTTGCAAACGACTCACAGCACATAACAACAACAACAACAACAACAACTGGAATTTTAGACTTCTATCATTACCAACATCAATACAGGCTTGTAGCTGAGCCTCCAGCAGCTTTCAGAGACCGTGAATCAAAGACGAGCAAAGTGCCCGTCTGTCTCCTGTGGACCAAGTGACGATCCGAACAACCTGACTTTGGTTTG